GAGTTTTACGCAATTTCTGCTACATGTCATGTATCATATATTCAGTAACAATTAAAGACACATTCATAACAAAACATTCTTTGTGCTATATAGACATATTTTGATTAAGTTAGTGTTTTACAGTTAATATTAGCGTACCTATTTCTGTACAATAGTTATGTTTTAAAATAATTACCTTACAGGAAATGAATATACATTAACATCTTACTTGTTGTTTTAAAATGATTACTGGAAGTAAAGGTACATGAAAAATCTTGTAGATCGAAGTTAGTCATACAGTAGAAACTAATCAACTTTATTTTAGAAAGATACAAAGTAAGTAATTACTTGTTTAACTGTTCATCCATACAAGGGTCCATCAGTGGCTTCTTTAGACTTCAGCCCTTTTAGAGAGATTTTATTAAATAATTGAACCTCTCTTAGATTCTACTTCCTGGAATTTATCAGAATTGGTGTCATTAAAAGATGACATAGTCATGACACAAATAGTGCTTAAACCCATAATACCCTCTCCTCTCCTTCCCTAATCTCTTAGTATGCACTTTATATTAAGTGTACATCTTATTATTTAAAAAATATGAGTATGTTATATGTAAGTTGTTAGGAATTCTTATACTTACAAATTCTGTCTTCTACATTGTGAGACTTCTTATACATTGTAAGACTTTTGATCCAAATTTAATTGAACTTGACATAATTTTTGTCAAGCATTCAATGACCCCACTACTCTGCAATCAAGGAAGAAGTTATTAAGTTATTTAGTTATTTATTGTGTACATTATTTTTATTTTGAACTTGACATAATTTTTGCAAAGCACTAAATGACCCTATTACTCTGCAATGGAAAGTCAACCACTTTGAAGCCGCTATTAAGGGAGAAATTATTAAGCTATGATTTTAGTTATTTACTGTTTACATTGTTGTTATCCCCCTCATTTGATAAATACAAAATAGACATATTGATAATGAATAATAAAGTACAGAGTTTATTCTCTCCCAGCCCCTTGATTATTCAATATTCATAAATATTTGATATGTACTGTATTGTATTTTATTATACTTTACTCTGGCAATTTATATTAATCAAGTTTTAATTAATTTTAGAAACAAAATAAGGCGTTGTGTCAAAGTGAGACTATGATGTCCACAGAATTTGGATGAAAATAGTTCACGAGTTTTTTTCCCACGCAAATAATCAATTTTAATTATATCTAGAAATAGACATAAAAGGTGAAAAGTTATTCATCATAAATGATGTTGATTCAGCTGGAATTGGTAATTAATGGGGACCATGGCATCACTTGGTATATTCAATTAATAAACAATCAATTACTTGTGTATATTTTACAAAAAAGGGGAGAATAGGAACTACCAAGACTATTTTATAAGACTACTTTCTTACATTATAAGTAAACATTATTCCAATCACTTTAGTTCTGAAAAATTTTATTATATTGTTGTTATAAAAATTGTTGCAGTAAAAATTGGCAATTAAACAGAATCTATAGCATCAGTTACTTTGTTGCGCCAATATATGTTTTTCACAATCATGTATTTTTCATTTAAAAATGGGGGTAAAAAATATCACAATATTTTGCAAGAATATTTTCTTACTTAATACACGTAATATTCGCATCACTTCTGTAAAATATTACAGTTTTGCAGTAAAAAATAAAAGGTACAGTAATTTTACGTTTGATTGTTTTATTGTCTGATCTATATATCGTGGTTCTCATTTTCTGTATATACAATGTACAATGAAAAAAGAAAATAAATGTCACAGTGTCAGGAATTTTCTCCCTAGTAAATCACATAATTATTGTGATGATATCTTCAATTAATTAAATACTGATTGTTGTGTTAAGTAAATTTTTCTCTCCGTACTACATACGTCCCTCGTCCCTGTAGACATACTATGAGCTAGATATCGCTATATTAGACACCAATACGCAGTGAGTAAATTGTAAATTGGATAAGCTATATTGTTGGAACTATTATAGTGCGGAACTGAAATTTTACCAATTCTCTCGGCGTTTCTTTGATAGCAACACGGTTTCTTATATTTTACCAGAGTTGAAAGAAATTGGGCGTACTGTTATTTATCATAGTTACAATTGTTGAACATGTTTTAAAAATAGATTACTTCCATATTGTTGCTACCATATTTTTTTTTTCAAAGTAAACTTAATGGAAATACTAATTGGGGAAACTGCAAGGAGAAGCACTGTATATTTTATTGATGGTGACAGTATTTAGAATTACATTTGCCTTTAAAAGATTAAGAGTCAGAGCTTTTCTTAAGTATCTAACAACTTTCGGGCTGCTCTTGATACAGTTAAGTTGCTAGCAGGTTTAATATGAAAAATTTCCAACTCCATGTTCCTGTAAATAAATTTGATGAATTGTCTTCTTATAATGAAAGAATGTATATTTTGTGTAATTTGATATAAAGATGGGCAAAGAAGAGCATTTTCTTCTAATTTTCTTTTTGCATGAAAATGATATGTATAGTTTGAATTCAGATAGACTTTCGGTAAAGGGTTACGTTGATGGTCCTCCTTAGTCTAGCATGTGCTGCTTGCATGGTTGGGCTTATATATAAGGTCTTCTTTGTCTAACCGGATTATAGAATAACAACTCTGTTGTAATTTTGACTAGAACCCACAAATCAATGTATATCTAAATATGATCAATGTTGGTAATTTGTCAGTTCATGAGAATTTTCCACCAAAATATGTTTGTTTAGTTGATTTGTTTTAATGTCAATTTAGACACATTTTTGGTCTTATCTGGATAACTAACCAGTTATTACCAATTTCTCCATAGACTACTAATCCGGGATGATTTCTGAATAAAGAGTAAGAGACAAATGATCATTAGACTCTGCAATGTCCGAGATCATTGTCGTGGAGAAATTTTGCCTTGCCTGAGGATCAAATCAGCCACCCCTTGATAACAAATCTTATGCTCTCACTGTTGAGCTATGCAGACAGTCAACAAAATATGTAAAACAGAAAAAAAAAACTTCTAAAATTTGTAATGCAATAGTTTTTTTCCAATGAGTAAGCTATTTTCTGATTTTGCAGAGGACATCTTGTATGAAATATGGCCATACATCTTTTTAATGATCGTAGATATAATAAGTTTCGAATGACATTTTACAGCAGGAAATTACTTTTCTAGTAATTATAAAAAATATAAATAAAGAAAAGTATTTAGAGAAAGATCAATTCAAACTTCGCAAGTAGACAAGAATAACTGGATCATATAGATATTATATTGATGCAGATTTGATAAGTCCCTGTATTCTAACCAGACTTTATACTGTTGGCTGACTAACTTAGAAATTCCACCTTGACGTCCCCAAAATTGATAATGTATTGTACAATGTTTCTACCTAGAGTATGAATGGAGATGTGGTTGCCAGATTTGGGGCATTTCAGTATAACTAGTAAAGGACCCAATATAAAATTAAAAAAAAATGTTTTACATGTAGTGTAATTCAATATTAATGAGGCATTTTTAGCTCGACTTTTCTATGAAAAGGGGAGCTATCCTACTCGCCCCGGCGTCGGCGTCGGCGTTGGCGTCACACCTTGGTTAAGTTTTTCGTACCACCCCACTTTATTTCAGAAGTATTACAAGTATGGCTTTGAAACTTACCATACTTGTTCACCATCATAACCTCCATCTACAGACAAGAGTACATAACTCTGTCAAGGTTTTTGACAGAATTATGGCCCTTTTTTGACTTAGAAAGTGTATTGAGCTTGGTTAAGTTTTTTGTACCACCTCACTTTATTTCAAAACCATTGGAGGTATTGCTTTGAAACTGACCATACTTGTTTACCATCACGACCTTCATCAACAGACAAGAGGACATAACTCTGTCAAGGTTTTTGACAGAATTATGCCCCTTTTTGACTTAGAAAATACATTGAATATGGGTAAAATCCACTTATTGCCTTAACCCTTTGAGATATTGCTTTGAAACTTTTAATGCTATTTCACATCATTACCCCCATCTGTACGCAAGAGAAGGTAACTCTGTCAAGGATTTGTTTTAAAAATTAAGGCCTTTTATCGACTTAGAATCTTGGTTAAGTTTTTAGTACCAGTCCACTTTTTGACTGAACTGTTTGAGATATTAATTTGAAAGTTGGAATACTTGTTTACAATCATGATTCCCAAACATGTCCAGGAGAAGGTAATTCTGTCAAAGATTTTATTTGAATTATGGCATAGATTTCTTGAAAAATTATGTTATTATGTCATTTACCAAGGTGTTCTGAGTGACGTAAAAATACCTTATTCTCTCAAAGTGGGTTTAATACTATTAAATTTATTTAAGGCTCAACTCAGTTTTTTTTTCTTTCTTACCAGCCCTCTTTTGACTTAAACATTTCAAACTTTGCTGCAGTGTTCAAGGGTATCACACAATTCAGTAAAATAATTCTTCACTAAATATCTTAATGCTCATGGCCATTGTTCACTTTAAAAATACAGAGATTCTTGTATTGCCTTTTACTGCAAAAACTTTTTTTATTGGCAAGCAATAAAAAAGTCGAGCGCGCTGTCTTACGGACAGCTCTTGTTGTATATCTTCCTTCATAAAAGTCAGTTTCATTTTTTATGTTTATATGAAAGTCTGAGTCTTGAGTGTGATTTTAAAAGAGTTCCTTTGAGGTCCAACGGCTCAAAGGCTTAATATATGTACTCCGAATTAAATATTTAGTGTGAATCTTAACAAATGATTTGAAATTTTGCACCCAAGTTTTTGGTATAGACCTACATCAAATGATATAAAAAATCTCGAAAAAATATTTTCATTGCAGACATATCAGAAAAACCCAAAGTTGTTTCCCTTTTAAATGCACACTTAAGTAACCCAAACCACATTGATTTGTCCTTCCAGGGCAAGTCTGCATGATGGAATTCCTGCTTTTACAATGTTTGAAATGTTTTTTATGCAAATTAAAACAGTATCTTTATTGTTTCAGGATAAAAAAGTGCATTAAACTGTAGGAAAGACCATAACTAAGTCCTGAAAGATAACTACAGAGTGAGTGGAGAATCATTTATCTGATACCAGTGTTGTGACTTTGAGAAGGCAGCAAATTAGCAAGAGTTTTCGCCTTGCAGATCTTTAAATCTTGTTTCAAAAGGTAAAGATTAATAAATTTATATCAATATCAATACAATTGTCAGTATTATTTAAGAAAATTGGAAGGGGCATCTGTGTCCATGTGGTTAAGGTGGATGACTCCAAACCACTTGTCTCTCACTGCTGTAGGTTCTAGATGTGCTAGTGTCTTTGGATTCTTTCATGTGAGAAAGCTATCCAGCTAGCTTACAGAATATTGGTGGTTCTACTCCGGTGCTTGTTTGTGCCTGAAATAATGCACAGATGTACTTGAGGTCTTCCTTCACAATAGAGCTTGAAAGTTGTCATATGACTGTTGTTGCAACAAAAGCCCAACCAAAAGATAAAAATAAAAGAAGAAAATTGGAACAAGTTTTTATTAACTCTTACCTTACTGGAGCAGAAGTTGATAAGCCTTTGTCACCATATAGAGCAAGACCAGACTTCATGTGAATGCAATCTGACCAGGATCTTTATTGTTGGCTGACTGACTCCAAATGTTCATCTTGACATCCTGGCATTTAGATTTGCTTTTGTGCATCCATTCATCTGTCAGTTCCAAAATATTTTGTCATAAATACCTCTTAGTGCTTGAGCTAGAGTAAACAAATTTTACAGGGATGTTAATCAGCCTGTGAAGCTGTACACCTGGGGTTTTGCATGTGGATTAATTCAGTTTTTGTAGAGTTATTGCCCCTGAATGAATAAAAACTTGCAATTTTCAATTTGTGTTGCCTGTAGCTCGAAAATTATTTGACCTAGAGTCATGAAACTTAACAGGAATATTGGTCAGCATGTGTATTTGTGCATCTGGGGTTTTGCTTGTTTTTATTTTCTTTTAAGCATACTTTAGGATATAAAATTAAGATTTGGATTTCTTGCAGCTCAATATTGGGAAAAAACAATATGTCAACATTTGAAAAATTGGATGTCAATTTTATACACCAACCACTAAGGGGTAAGGGGAGTCATGTAGATTTCTTTTGTCTGTTTGCCTGTCATACTGTTCTACTGTACAGCAGTGCTCATACTGACAAAAACAGTGCAATATGCGGGTATCTTTGTCTTACAGTATGGAATCTGGTCACAGGTTGGCCTGGCACTAGTGGCAAGGACTTACCCTTTTTAATTCCAGCTCAGTAAGAGTTAATAGCATGGATGAAATGTGCAAGTATAAGGCATAAGATAAAAAAAAAGTTAAAGTGAGAAGATTATTTTGTTGTTATTTTTCCAAGAAAAATAGTGAAAACTGCTACAAATACATGTCAATTATAATTCAAACTGATAAAAATACATGTTTATGTTTTAGAAATTGTCTATTTTCATTCATTATTGTTTCAAGGTTTTATCTAATTGTCCACATCAACATGCACCCTTTAAAGTTCTTAGAAGCTATTAAATTATATTTTATAGTTTAGAAATGCTATTTAAAAACAGGAACAAGTACTTACTTTGCATTTAGAGTAGTTATTATAATTATCAGAAGTTAAAAAAAGTGTGGATTAGGGAAGTGGTGAGAAAATAACAACAGATATTTGTAATAATCAAGGGCATATCTTGTTATTGTTTTCCCATTTAAATAAGCATTTAACCTGTCATTTTCAGGACAAAGTATTTTACGAAAGTTTTATATATATTTCCATTGCTTTTAATATCATTTAACTGTGCTTTTATAGTATAACATAAGTGGCTGGAATAATTTAGAAAATTGAGATATAATCTGACTTGTAAGCAATTTAAATATGTATTTTAATACGTTTTTAAATTTTTACACTTGGAATCATGATTTGATGGCATTATGGAGGTGTCTGTAATAATTGTTTAATTGAATGGTTGCCATAGTAACAAATATCAGATTTAGAAAAATTAAACTGTTTTTGAAATTTTTAATGTCAAATGTGAAGATCGTGCCAATATAAATTGTTATATTTTTAATTTGCACTCTCATGAACTTAAAATAAAGCAAAATAGATTTTATTTATAGGTTCATATGTAATGGATCATATTTTTGAAAAGCAATTTTATAAATGCCTTACTTAAACTAACCGGTGGAGAAACTGAGCTCAGAGACTATGCTACATTATTCTTTAACCTACAGAATTTCTTAAATGGACTTTGTGAACTGTCCTGATAATCATGGAATTATAATATAATAGTTGGGATTTCAAGTTTAAATTTCTATAGTCAATAGTATAGACGGAGGTAATAAAGACTGCACAGATGTATGCGCAGGTCTGTTTCTATACAGTTCAAGCAAGATAAAGGTTTGTCCTAAAACACGAATATCATGTAATTTGTTTTGGTCTGATGCATAACTAGGTTGAAGGAGCTATAAATAGATTTAGAGAAAAATAAAATTATATTTAAGAAATTTAAGTAATTAAACACTTTTAGTATCTATGATCATACAACTTTAAGATTTCTTTAGCACTTAAGTCACAAGATAATATTGCCCATTACCCATTATTAATTTATTGTAACCCTCAACTCGCTAAGTTTCTTATACCTGATTTGTCCAGCTTCCAGGTGGCTGTATACTGATTGCAATGTTTATCACTGCCAAATACAGCATGGGGCAAGAAAAGCATAGTTACCATTCAGATGACATTATTATGTTTTTATAAAGCTAAAAAAGTTACCCATCAGAGTTTTTTGGATTTTTCAAGATTTAATTGGTAATTGTTTTGTTATTTGGGAAAAGACCAATATTTGGCTTCTATTTTATTCAGAAAAAATCACTGCCCATGTAACCTAAGGAGCCAACACTTTATTTTTACTGTTTCAATGTGCCAAATGATTCTCTGCAACCAATTATACAAAATGCACAATTAAGACGTTTTAATATGGAAAAAAAAAATTTAAAAAAATGCATAGTTGTGTTAAAACGTGGCTCTCGAAATATCATGAATATCTGTGTTTGATCAATTTAATTATTTCCATGCTGGCTGTTTTTAAATCATAGTTACTTTAAGTAATCTCTTTTTCAATAATTGCGGAACAGATAAGATTGCAGCATTTCAGAATTTTGAGAAAGATGTGGAAAAAAAGGGGGGCTCTAAGATTGATCTTTACTTGAAATATTTCTTTCGCTTTCTCATAAGAAAATTTGTAGTAATGTAGAAAAGTTCTGCAGATCTTTAATTTAAAAAAACAACTGTTTTTTCCTTTTTTAAATTCAATATTATTTAAAGTGGATTAAATATAAATTACAATGCTTTTGAAGAAATTTTTCTTTGGAAAATAAACAGTATCAAAGAAACCAAAAACACAAGACAAAAACAAAATGGAAAAAAAATGATACTACCATTTGCAGGTTCTGAGGAGAAGCAATGGCCTAGTGGTTAAGGTGTCTGCCTCTGAACCAAGAAATCATTGGTTTGAGCCCTAATTGGGTCACGGCCGTGTTTCTTCATATGACACCAGTACTGGTTGGTTCCAGTAAGCGGACTAGAAAGTGATTAATATAAGTTGCAAGAACTTGTTTCACATTTGAGCTTAAATAAATATGTTGAATTAGGTACTGTGCAACATAATTCAAGCTTAAAATGAAATGACTGCTTTTAAATTTATAAATTAGCAAAGCTTTGAGTAGTGTGCTTAAGTAGAGAAATAGCATTGGGGAACTATATCATACTAAAATGCTGTGAAGTAAAGTGACAGTGGGCACAAGAGGACTAAGAAGGAACATAAATTGACAAGTTTTGTGTTGTTGTTTGGTTACGAAGTTATTTTTTTCATATTTTATAAAAGATTGAAAAGGGAGGTAATGCTGTTTTAAAAATTGTGTGCATATGAATAATTTCTATGCAGTGGTTTTGGGATAGTCATAAGTTGAATATATAAATGAATTTAGCATTCATCATAACGTATTAAAAAATTTAAGTTGTCAGAGAATCATTCAATGGAATAAGGAAGAGCAAGTACTGAACATTGTTGAAGAGAAATGATTATTCCTTATATTGGTCTTTGGAAATCATTCACTTACGAAATCCATCGGTTGTACTTTCCTATCTTTTGCCCTGCATCTGCAGAAAGAATGCACACAATTACGACCAAGTTTTCGTTCTCAATCAATAATGGAACTGTACATAATGAGACACAGAGCCAAAGATGCCCCATAAATTCTTAACTTTTAACCAAATTTGAAATTTAAATTTATAGCCCCAAAGCAGAGCTTCTGCATGATGCGGAAGAAAAATGTATTCATTATTGCTTTATTCATTAATTGAAAAACAGCAAAAACGTATTTTAGTGCATCTTTATTCCTGGATTGGAGCCGCATTACCACAATGTTGTATTAAGGCATCCTTCCATATTCGTTATTTTTTTTTTTGCAGCCCTCCGTTTTTTGTTAATTTTACAAACATTTATATTCACTTGATCACCCTACATTTCTATCCCTCATGAAATTTGGCAGTTATACGTTGAGGTAATTTTATTCAAGACATTTCTATTTGCAAAAGGAAAATATTCCAAATGCCAAACATTTGTAAGTGACAGATTCTGAGCTGATACAAAGTGACATAGGCATCATTAATATAAAGAATAATTGATATGAATCATGCATTACTAGGGAATGTTTTGATTTATTGATAAAGATGAGTAGATGTAAGAAATATGTAATGTAAATAATAAAAAATTTTATGATATAATATAGTACCTGTACAGTACTTAACACTTCTCAACTCTTAGAATGTTAAATTTATTGTAAAAAGTAATGTTATGTCCTGAGGCCAACATTGAAGATCGGAAATGTGTACGCCTCTTTAAATAAAGGTGTTGCTTACTTATTTACGAAAAAAAATGTAAAATACTTTTACTACAGTAAAACTGTTCCCATGTGACTTAAAAAATGAATAAAAAGAAAACATTTTAAAGAAACATGACTTTTAAACCTGTTTTGTTGTTTTATTAAATGTTTTTCATGAAGAAGATACATTGTTAATATGAAATGAAAATATTTAAATAGTGTTAATTCATAATAGGCAAAATGAAGATATTTAAGAAGTGTTATGTCAGATCAGATTTATTGCAATAATATAACACCTGATTAATGATAAAAAAAAAGAATTTATAAACATTTACTTTTATTAAAGTAAGATACAGTAAGTTTGTTTAATATCTTACTCAGGTTTTGACTTATTGTCTCATTTCTGAAATTCATGACAGTGTTATTAGGTTTCACAATTTTTTTTTAATAAAGAAGAAG